CGCTCCTGGGATATACCATGATGGGGATCAATTGGTTGAAACACTTGTAGCACCAGATATGGAGACGTTGGGGCTCAACTTGACATTAGGTTGGAAATACCATGTTCATGGGGTCATTGGCCGGGATGATACATGTGGCACAAGGTGGGATTTAATCCACTCCTCTCGAAATTGTCAACACAATCAGATCACATCAAAGTATCAGGGACTGGTCGAGTTGTCCAGGTGAACCAAGCCCCCAACGTAGGGAGTAATCAGAATTCGGTGGATGAAATTTTGGTTAATCATATGCCAGCAGTAAGTTCCTGATCTCCTGTTGACGATCAACACTGACATTTTGTTTTAGGACTTTGCCTCTTTAATCCAGCTCCGTTTGATTATATGCAAACATAATCATTGTGTCATGGATTTGAATGCAGTTGATATTGGTTCAATAATCCAGTTTTGTGGACACTTCATTGGAGAAGAGACTGAGTCAGGAGTCATCAGATTGCTTGTAAGTTTGAATAAATATTTGGGCATGAGGCTGAAGCTGACGTTTTCTACTCCTTTAGATTTGTCCCATTTGAGAGGATTTGACCTATCTCCCACTCAAATTTTGAATCAGATGTAATAGAATTTGATTTGAATTGTAAAATCGACACGAGTCACCTGCTGCCATGATTGTACATAATTGGTGATTCAATTTGATGAGCGCAATTAAGGTCAATTTAAATGTTTGTACCCGCTAACAGTTTAAGTCAATCCCAATGTCCCTGTATGGACCGTGCGGTTGGTTTACGGTACTGAAGGTTGAGCACCCTGGGTGTTTGAGGTGTTTAGCCTGACATGGGCCAAGGCACAAAAGGTCCTGTCCATTTGATGAACCACAATCTTCAATGCATTCAATGATGATCCACTCCAAGGCAAAGATAACCAACAGTACATCTCCTGACTTTGAATTGACCCACCACCAGAACTCGAGTTATTCAATCCCTTATAAGCTTGGAAGATGCGACAAACAATGTGAGTCATGTGGGGTGCTCCATTGGCATTACAAAGCAACACTACTTGACCGTGATAAACGGACGAAATCTTACTCGACTTGCTGCCAAAAGAACAAGGTAACATTACCTGATTTTGATGAAACGGCGCTGAGGTATCCATCAATGCTTCGGAAGTTACTCACTGGAACCTCGGAAGGTAAGTTTTTTTCTTGTTTCTTTTTAGATCATTGCTAATGTTATATTTAATACAGATGACGTGAACTTTCAACAATCGACGAGGATGTACAACAACGCTATATCTTTTACGTCTTTGGGTGCGAAACTTGACTACTCGGTTCAAGGTCCGATGGGAGTAAACATCATCAAGGTCTCAGGCGCCCTTTCACATCGGATATTGAGCTTGGAACCAACTGACGACAAACCCGGATTCTCGCAAATATACGTTGTTGGGGATAATGGACTTGGTGAGGCCGATTACAGACTGAATTGCGCCCTGGGTCGAAGCAAAGACAACGTGAAGAAGTCAAAAATGAAACCAGGCAAAATTTTGATGCTTGTCCACTTGATGGGAGAGATCAAACCTTACGCTAAACGGTTCCGCACAGCACTCGATGTACTTTCAAAGTCGAATGCTCAAACAATAAGCTTGTCGGGTGTCCCAAGGGCCGGAGTCAATCCAAAACGGTACAATTGTCCTACCGTCGATGAAGTTGGCATCGTAGTTCAAGGGAATGGTGACATTATTGGAGAACGACAAATTATCCTCCATCTCAAAGACGATTCCTTGGAAGAGATCTCAGACATGCATTCGTCATACTTCCCCCTCCGCTATCCCATATTTTTCCCTTATGGTCAACAACAATGGGACAATTTATATAGTGCCTGGACCGGACACGGTAAAACTCTTGAAGACTGGTCCTAGCAAGTATATATGTCCGTTGTGATGTTCACTAACACTTGGAAATGAACATTTTTGTCCCTGAAGTTAAAGACAGGAGGGTTGGCTCACTCGAGTAGTTTGCGTACTTGTTGTTCAGACGTTGAAAGAGGTTTTTGCCAATCTTAGCCGGTCGCTCACTCACCCAAGAGATACTTGTTGATATGTACGTCTGTGTTGAGCAATGACGACTATTGTTTGTGACGAAGAACCAAGGCAAACTCAAGGCAGCCAACTATAAGCGCTTGATCAGTTCTCTTGAAAACCAGGCCCCAATAACTGGCAGATGTGTCATCTTGCCTTTGTCTTTTATTGGAAGTCCTTGGTCCATGCAACAATTATATCACGACGCTATGGCAATCTGCCGAAAGTTTGGACCACCATCACTCTTCATCACCATGACTGCAAATCCGAACTGGGAGGAAATACGTACTGAGCTTCCCTCGGGAGAAAAGGCCTTCGATCACCCTACAATAGTTGCACGGGTATTTCACTTAAAGATGAAGGAATTAATACGTCAAGTCGTAAAGATGGAAAGGTTCGGAAAAGTCTTGGTGTATGTGTATACGGTTGAATTCCAGAAAAGAGGTTTGCCTCACCTTCATCTGATGGTTACACTAGAAGAGAACGATCAACCAGTCACACCTGAACAGATAGACACCATCGTTTCGGCAGAACTGCCAGATCCCAAAAAGTCCCCAAGACTTCATGCTCTGGTCTCTGAATTCATGTTACATGGTCCGTGCAAGGGGCGTCCATGCTGGAATGGTAAATCTTGCAAGCTTGGATTTCCTAAACCATACGCGGAGTGCACAGTAAACCTCAACGGTGCTTATCCCGTTTACAAAAGAAGAGATGATGGTGCCTGCGTCCAAAAACATACCTCAACATTCAACAATGGTTCTATTGTTCCGTATAACCCATACTTGACACTTAATTTTGAGTGTCATTTAAATGTCGAAGTTCCTGTCAACACAACGGCTATCAAGTATCTTTACAAGTACATTACCAAAGGACATGATAGGCTTGCATTAGGTGTTGACTCTCAGGATGAGGTGAAATCCTTTGTTGATGGGCGATACATTAGTGCCATGGAAGGTAAGCACTTGACTCATACTTGATTTGACATTAGCTGATATTTGGAATATAGTTGCTTGGCGCTTGTTCAAGTTCCCACTATCCGACAGATTCCCTGCCGTTACAAGATTGGCAGTTCATGATGAAGACAAGCAGATTGTTTACTTCAAAGGAGAAGATGGTCTCGCCGGGCAACTGAATAGTGGCAAAGCGAATCGGACGACATTGACAAGCTTTTTTGACCTAAATGCAACCAACACGGTGGGAGCAGATGGTGTCCCAGCGCGGTCAATTTTTTACAAAGACGTTGCTGCATACTTCTCTTGGAATAAGTCGGAGAAGTGTTGGGTGGCCCGGAAGACGAAGGCTTTAACTGTTGGGCGCATTTTTTCCATATCCTACCTTGCGGGCGAAAAGTTCTACCTTCGAGTACTCCTCCTTCATCTTAAAAATATCAGTTCATTCGCCGATTTAAGGAGTGTGGATGGGGAAGTATGTCGAACTTATTGAGATGCCTGCAATACTTTGGGGTTGCTTGTGAACGATTATCTTTACGACCAAGCTTTACCAGAGGCAAAATGGTCCGTCGAATTCACTAGCCAATGTTTGCGATGATGTGCATTCATTCTCCTCCGTCTGCCAGTCGACTTGTTCATGTGCATTATCTAAAATTCACAGACAATTGCATTCAAGTTAACATGAAGAAGCGCCACAGTAGACAATTGAAGGATAACAAGCGACAAGTATCGGGGCTGATGTGGTTTTCAAGACTCTTGGATGGGATGGGCGGGTCTCTTGCATCTTGTGGCCTGAGGATCACGCAAAAGGAACAGAAGATCCTTCAAGACCTTGAATCAGAAAGTGAAATTGGAAAAGACCAGGATCTAATCTCGGCGAGGCTCTCGGTTAACATTAATACTTTCGATCAGTCTCAGAGTTTGTTTTTCCAGAGGATTAAGAATGCGCTAGGTGGCCAGGATGGGAAAACGTTTTATCTTGATGGACCGGGTGGGACTGGGAAGACTTTTTTACTTAATAGTATAATTGATTGGGCATCCATCAGTGGGCACTCTTGCATCGTATGCGCATCTTCTGGTGTAGCAGCCCTCTTGTTAACGAATGGACAAACAGCTCACTCGACTTTCAAAATACCGATTGATGTCCAATCAGGCTCTGAGTGTTCCTTGGAGCCGGACACTATAATTGGCGAACAACTTATCAAATCTCGGCTGATAATTTGGGACGAAATTGTCACGATTCACAAGAATTCAATTGAGGCTGTGAACAAATCTCTGAAAAGGTTGTGTAACTCCAACAAAGACTTTGGTGGGAAAATTGTCGTCTTCTCCGGGGACTTTCGTCAAATTCTTCCGGTTGTCAAGTATAATGAATATCCTCCAGCTTACGCATCAACTATCCATTTAGCACTCTTTATCATTCCTATGGTACTCTTTCAGAAATGTGCCGCAGCACATAACTTAGGATAGACATAGAACAAGTTCTTCTCTCTATCCGAGTGCGGGTGGTAAATAAATTTCTTTTATCTATTTTAAATTTTATGTATTTAAAACAAGAAAAGATATTTAGGGACCACGGGAAAGAATTAATGTGTTACAGAAGAATATTATTTATCTTCTTCTTTGAGTCAATTATATTAATGCATAATCAAAAGATTATGGAAGAAGTAGGTTTATGAAACAAGCGTGCCTAAAAACTCAGGTGGAAATTTCTACTGATGATAGGAGCCTGAGCCCTGTGATCTAACCTACTACTCCGACTCATTTAGACATTTAACACATAACTAATCTTCCTTCCACAACTCGTTCAACTCGTCTATGATTCTTTTACTTTCTGTCGTGTCTTCAGCGCTGTACTCTCTAATGTAAAGCCTATAACAGTTCGAGATCCATCTCCCGAGGAGACATATCTCTTTGACAGGTGCTCCTAATGCGTAACGCAGGGAAGCGCCCCCAACTCGGAAAGAATGACCAAGTAATCCTTCAAAGCCTCCGGTTCTGAGGACTAGTTGAATTCGGTTCACTGCTATCGATCACGTGATATGCTTCCTGTCCCCATCGCGGTAAAAACCGAATAAAGATGTGACGTTCCCATCTGCCGCCTTCATCCGCCTCTTGATTGCTAAGACCGGACATAGCATGTTCTTCAAGCTATGTAAAATGATTTGTTGAGGTTTTCCCGGCTGTGATGTCTTCGCATTCCTTATTGTAAGGATTACCTTTTCACCAATAGCCGATTTTATCAAGCGTACGTCCGACGTTAAAACCGAGTCTTGATTATTCAGGTCGCCGAACGGTTTCTCGTATGTCAACTCGCCTATCCTCGCCATCCCCCAGAAGGCCACGATTGCAAGGTCTAAGATAGCCTTGTCTATGTCTCCACTTGGGAACATCACGTTTGATAACCAGATCAGATGTTTCAACATGATCGGAGGTTTTTTCGGCTTGGGCGGTAAAGTCGCATCAACTCGGGCCGACGCTTTCAAAAGTAGTTCGATCCTCTTATCCGAAATGTCTGGGTACTCTACGCTGTGAAATGTGTGCCATGCTTTCAGCCCACACAAATACTTTTTGATTGAGCTTGACGATATCTTGTACGAGTTGTTGAGGTATAAGTTTCTTCCTGCCCAAAAGCAGAAGTCTTCTATATCTTTAACTGTTGCCGGTAACACAAAATTATGATCTCCTGACAAATTTTTAAAGAAAATGAACTTCTTTACAGCAGCATTGTATCCGACTATCGTATTCCATTTCCATCCCGTGAGGAGATGCGCGTTTAAGGTAGAGATTGGGTAGTGTGTCGTTCCATTAGCCGCAAAGGCCTTGATCTTGTTAAAATGCCCTACTGTTAATGGCTTGTTGTCAACAATGACTACGTCTTCTGATGAATCTATCATGTTGATTTGTTTGAAAATTATGTGTTTGCCTTAAAATGCTAAGAAAAGAAAAAAGAAAAATTTATTTTATGACTATAAATTGTGAATCAAGATCAAGGAAGATTTGGGAAAAACAGATGATCTTTCTGATTGGAGAACTCTTAAAAGAAGTATCCCAATCGATTATCAGGAGAGATGACAGTTAAATGAGTGTGAATTCAGGGATACGGCCTGTACTATATACAGTTATGTATCATTGGCAAGGGTTTGACTGGTAGCTATGCCTGGCGTAAGTAACCTTTCCACTCAATTGGGATTGGAAAATACACTCTGTTTCCTTCTTTCAGGTTACCCAATAGACCCCTAGACAAACCGTCTGCCCGGTTATCTCCTGATTTTACCCTTCTCGCCGTCAACTCGATCTCTTCATCTATTAGGAAATCTTGTATGACTTTCCACTCCTCGTTTACTTCAGTACTTCCCGATTTCCTCTTGAGGATTGCTGATTCGGTCGTTGTATTATCGGTCCAAACCAAAACATTTGATCCTTTCCGCAACCGGTTCATCCGTTTCAACATGATAAGCCCTACTCGGACTGCAACGGTTTTGAGCCAAGCAATGTTTTGTTTTCGTAGTCCTTTGAATCAATCTTGAATGATCCGGAGTTGACTCCAGTGTTTCCCAATTAAGACTCCTATGCCGAAACTAGTTGATGCGTCGCCTACCCAACCGATATCAACCGGGTCGGCTGAGGAAATAAGTCGACTGTGTTTGAAATTATTCAATGTATGTATCCATCGACCCAGATCTAGTAAGACATCTTCAGGTGAGAACCTTTTTGCGTCCAAGTCAAACCAGTCGCACATCCACCTATAGAGGCTCCTCAAATAGCATTGGAGCTGAGGTAACATGTATGACACATGATTTAGACGACCCGTCAACACCTCTACCTCGTTAAATGAGAATTTTCTAGTCTTGTCTAGGAATTCGAGGATCTGCTTCTTCCTTTGTTCTAGCTTTTCTTCTGGGAGGCGTACTGTTTTTGTCACTCCGTTCCACAAGAAGCTGATGAATTTTTGTTCCTCGGAGAAGGTCGAACATTTCTTTAAGTTCGTCAGTACTCCAAGTTCGACTGATCTGTTTACAATATCTATCATATCCGTCTTTGAGCCCATTTTCTTGACAAAAAGGTTGTCGTCCACCCATCTGAAAACTTTGATCAGGTCAAATTCTGCAAACATTATTTCTTTCCATGCGTCCGCTGGTCTCCCAAAAGATCCACAACCTGCGACTCCGTCAAAGGTAATCCTAGTGTCTAGGTATAGGTTCTCGTCCATTCCTTTAACCATCAGGTATGGCCACTGTGACGGATGAGTTGGGATCTGCCTATACGCTTTTTCCCAGTCGAACAAGGCCAAAAGGAGCGGTCCTTCTGAGAGCTTAAAGAAAGAAGAAACTTCATTGAAATCATCCCATGTTGTCTCGAAATCGTGTTTGTTCACGAACGAATTTACTGATGGTATTAATGGATCCCCGTGCGGGAAAGACAGATCGTTGATAGGCCTAACGTAACTGTCGCCGTTAACTACCGCCCCGAGCGGGCTAGTCCTAAAGAATTGAAACTTTGATTTCACCTCCTCAATTGTGAAGGGCCCGAACATCCTGTTAGCGGCAAGCTCTTTCTTCATTGAATCCCTGATTTTATCTTCTGCTAATCTTGCAGATAAATGGTTATCAGGGGTGAACCAAGGCATGCCTTGAATCTTGTGAGTTGGAATCCCTTGGTCGAAACCGTTTCGGAAACCTAGAAGAACATCTTCATATTTAGATAGAATGCCTGCTTTTTGCAAGGCCTCTTCCCAAAGTTCTATATTCATCTCACATTTGACCCCTTGGGGCCACTCGATCCGTGCATTAGGGTTATCATCTGACTCTGCAAATGGGCGGCTTGATTGCACAATATCCAATGGATGCCTAGTCACAAGAGAGAAGCTGTCACAACAAAGGGGAGCAGAGGTGCACAATAAGGAAAAACAAAACGAAAGATCAATAACAGATTTACAACCAGAGAGAAACTGTTTGACATGTTTTCTAATGGTATCAAGATAAGAAGGTCCTTCAGAGGAAAAGGGGAAGATATGACAAGACGGCTGCAAGATGTGTGAGGTTCTTTAAAAGAACGTGGACAATAAGATGAGATAGCTGAAAGCTATGTGGGCCTGCAAGCTAAGATGCAGAAAACCTCGGGGGTGTCTCAAGTTGACGAACACTTGGATGAGGAACCTACTTGTTGTGGTTGTTCTTTTTCCCGCTCGCTTGGCCGCCGTCGTTTCTGTTACCGTAGCCTTCTGTATAGTTACCGCCTTTATAACCACCTCGTGGCCTCTTCGCCCCGTTTTGGAAGCCCTGATTACCGCTACCTCCTCCTTGACCGTTGGCGTGGTGATTAGCTCTGGGATTGTAGCTATAGCCTCCGTTCATGTTACTGTTCATGTAGCCATTGGTAGGAGAATTCATCCAGATCTGGCCTTGGAGGTTCGGATTTGCAATCATCGCGTTGTTGTGGTGCGACGCTTGATATCCGTTGCCGTTTCTCAAAGGCTTCAGGTAACCAGTTAACGGGTCGTGATTGCTGTGCAAAAGGCCTGGGGCATACAAGTTTTCCTCCCACTCCAGTTCACCAAAGTTGCGGCATGTGTTATAACATTGCTCAACTACCGACTCCTTCCGTTGAGAAATATCCGGGATTGCGTTCTTAACGTCTTCGTTGGTTATTCTATGAGAGAACGTGTTGCTTCTGACTTCCATATCGTATCTGAAGGCGACCATGAAGCCAAATTCTTCTGTTATATCATCGCAATTGTTCTTGTGTGTTGCTAATAATTTTGAGAATTTTATTATCTTGTACACGTCGTGGAGTGTCTTTGCAAAGGCTCTATGGTTGCAGGTCCACTGGGCGTAGGTTTGCGTCCATTCTTGGACGAAAGAGAAACCTTTATAGCCGCCAGATTTGTCCTTGTCAGCTGACAAGTCGTCGGATCTCTGGCGTTGGTCTAGATGGTGGGCCATGGCTCTTTGCTGCCATTTTTGGTTGAAGATTGTCAAGGGTAGCGGTGAACGCAGCTTCCGTATATTCTCGTCAAGGAATGGGGCGAAACCAACGCTATTGTGGTTGGTAACTGACCCAATAGCGTACACCAGGTCTCCTTCAGTCAGGAAGAATTTTTCTGGCTCTTGAGATTCCACATGGGGTCTGGTAGCTGGTTGTGTCGCGGTGACTTCTTTGGCGCCTAGATAGGTTATTTCTCCCAAATTGATCATGACAGGTCTGGCAAATATGCCCGCGTCTGAGATTTGTTTTGGAGCGTTTGTTCCGATACAACCTATCGCTTTGAACAGCATCTCTGCCAAGTCTCTATCTCCCGACTCTTGCGCAGTAACCGCTCTGTCCCACATCTGCTGTCTCTCAGTCATGATGGATGGCGCTGCAATGGCTAATGACAGTCAAATAATATTAACGGCATGTCTGAAAAGAACTGTAACGAGGTGCAGTGGGGATTGCTCTACCTGGCGATCTATCCTCCTCTTCCTCGTCCACGGCTTGGCTATCAGTGATAGCACTGGTTGTTGCCTTAGCGGATGGATTTAACAATGCCGCGCGGGCTCGGTCTCTGCGTGTTCGCTCGTGTCTACTAGTGGGGAGTGCATTCTATCGTTTGCTTGCTCGCCTATATCATTATTGTAATTTGGGAATGCGGATTTCAACGCTCTATCTTAACCAGGATAAACCTTCAGATTAGAACGAGGAACTTACCATCGCTGATCAAAACTCCTGCCCTCCCGTCTCCGGGGTTTGTGAGGCTGCTGTTTAAGGCTTGGACGTTGCTGCTGCCCTTATTGGCTTGGGTAGATGCGTCTGAGGTAGCGACATTACATCCTGAGTTACCACCGGGTATAAGAGAGTTTGCGACCGAGTTGTCTTCATTCCTGGTTTTTAACGATGAGGAGTCTTTGATCTTCTTCAAAGTTGCTCTGGTAGCGTTGACGTCAACCATTATGTAAGGATGTAGGGAGTGGTTTGATGATTGGAGAAGTTGTCGATGTGGGGTTGATGTGTGTCGGAAAGGTGTAATGTAGTCTGGAAACGAGATGTGTTACTTTAACGAAGGTTCTTGTTTTGATTGATTGATAAAAAAATTGTTTATAGGAAAAATTTTTGTAAGTAGAAAAGTTGGTGATAAAATAAGATTGGAGATAATTGTATGAGTAGTGGGGAGAAAGATTCTTGGGTTGTTCGAGACGGGTGTCTAGAAGTATTCTAGAATCTCTCTATGGCACAGGATCATTCCTATCACGTTTCAGACTGGATAGGAACCACCTTGCGCCTGTCCTAGGCCAATCTTAATCGTGCACATGGACCCCATCACCTTCCCTTTGTGCCTTGGTCAAGTGCTATACATCAAATCATCAGACATGTGGCAATCTGTCCAACAGTTCAAGTTAACAGAGAATATGCGCCTTGCCAAAGCTATGACTTTGTTGTCAAAGGATAAGAATCTAGTGTTTGGTCGAGCGTTGCTCATTTTGGGTGAAGGGAAAAAGCAAAAATCCGACTTTAGTGTAATCAAGTTGAATCACATAAACGTCAAGGCCTGCAAGACTAAGTGTGAGATGCATCAAGTATTGACTAATTTCGTATATGGTGACTTGAAGGATCGTAATGGATCAAATAACAATGAGGATATTACTTATCTCAATGAACGATGTATCCTAGCCCCGCTAAACCAAGACGTCAAGAAGCTTAACGACAAAATACTGGATCGGCTACCTGGGAAAGCAAAAATCCTAAAATCAATTTACACCCCAGATCCAGATGGGGTTGGCAGCTTGGCAGAGGAATGTCTAAACAAGCTTAGTTTAAGTGGCTTTCCCGAACACGAGCTTAGGATAAAGGTTGGTATGCCCCTTGTGGTAATACATAACATGGATATCAAGAATGGTGTATGCAATGGCTCACGTATAGTTGTAGTTGCCTTCGGAATCAGTTTCATCACAGGGAAGCTGATTTCAGGTCCGTACGCTGGGAAGGAAATAACTCTACCTAGAGCAAAGCTGCAGAATAAAACAAGTGGTCAATCTGGTCTTGCCTTTTTTCGTTATCAATTTCCAGTTGCTCCGGCATATGCCATGTCAGTCAACAAAAGCCAGGGTCAAACTCTCAGAAAAGTAGGTGTTTATCTCAAAACAGATGTATTTTTGCATGGTCAACTCTATGTAGCAGTTTCCAGAGTCTCCGATGTGGAAAATCTCCTTGTGGTTAGACCAAAGGTTAGGAGTGGGATTGTTAACGTTGTTCACAGGTGTATTTTTAAAGATAAAAAGAAACGTTAGTCTTCAAGTTAAAGTTTTGGGTGACTTCTGATTCTAACATTAGTTTTGTCTAGGATAATCAATAACGACATGAGGATTGTCCATTGTAATAATCTTTGACAATCCCTTAGTCTTTATGCAAATGTTTGGTGGAGGCCTGTGCCGAAGTATGGATGATTTCTGCAGGCATTTAAGTTGTAGTTATCATTGATTTGTCAATCATCATATAGAATGTTTATATTTATTCTCGCTTCAACCAGTGTGCCTGTAGGCAAATTGTAAATATAATGTGTAACTGTCTGAAAATTTTGGTTCAATTTATTTTCCATTTTGTCACTATTTTGGCTTAAGGGTGAGATGATATGACCGGCTTGCTGCCTTTGTGAGGCCTGATGTTTTGGTTTGTAGCTGTGTTGGCTTGTGGCAAGTAGTCACCTATTGGACTTTTTGGGGTTTGGCAGACCTAGACTGGTGAGGCACTGGTGTGTTTGGAGGACAGCGGTGAAGCCGCTCTGGTCTCTAGTAGAATAAGTGATATGTGGAATAAAGTTTGATTTCTAGAATAAAAAAACTCATTCTGATTTTACTTCTCAGACAAGAAAATATGATATGGGTTTTCTTTTTAATTAATTATCATCCTTGTGGTTCATATTCCTCACCATATTCATGAAAAAAAAATCCCAAGCAATCATTAACTTCCTTGAATGTTGTCTTTAGATCATGAGTTTGGCTGGTATTGGTTTGACAGAGTTGGAGCTCTGAGCAAAAAGATTAAAAAGACGTAATACATCTTTTGTTTTTTCCTTCAATCCCAATTGAGGGGCATGAACACAATAACTCAATTTTGGTTTGAATTATTGATTTGTAACTTTAGCCAGGCTTTGGAAGATGTGATCAATTAACAAGGCAGGAAACAACTTTATATTTTTTTGGTTTTGTGGCGAATCTCCTGGGAGGAAAATTGAGCCTTCTGATTCTTGAGTTTTGAATTTTTTTTTCTCAAATGAAAAAAGTATTCAATTGAAATGGCACCTGAAGTTATTACTGGAGCTGTAAAGAAAACTGAGCATTTTTTTTTATTTCCCCGGTTCCATCATTCTGAATTGAATGTTGATTACTGTATCAATTAGAATTAAAGTGTTTTCAATTCTGGATTAGATCCCTCAAATGGTTGGGATTGAAATTTTTATCATTAAACATCTCTGTTTGTATTGGGGAGATAATTATGTAGTGTTCTTGATGAGAGCAGTAATTTGTTCAGTCAGATTATTGTAAAAAAGAAATGTGAACACTAATAATACATAAAAGAAGTATGCTTTGATGAAGAGGTAAAACTGACTTGTTTGACTCGTCAATTGAAACTTTCAATTGGGTGAAGTTTGATTACAGCAACGCTGGGCCAGCTAGGCTAACCGCAGCGTTAGTGTGGCGTAGCGCAGCGGAAATGCGCTACTTTGTAGCGTAGCGTTAGCGAAAAATCCACCTTTCTGCGCTAATTCTACGCGCAAAGGGCACAAAAGTGCGTTAGCTGTTAGCGTAGCATTAGCGCCGGAAGTTGGAATTGCGCTAACGCTACGCGCTCAGGGCACAAAAAAGTGCCAGCTACGCTGCGCTACAGTGCTTTTTAGCAGGTTTTTTGCCTTTTTTGCTGCTGAAAGCACTGTAGTGCAGCGTAACTCAGCGTAGCGGCTGTAGCAATGCGCTAACACTACCCAGAAACAAGCCGCCTGTTAGCGGGGCTACAGCGTAGTGTAGCGTAGCGGCGGTAGCGGCACACTAACACTACAGAAAAAAGGGCCTGTTTTAGCGCCGCAACGCTAAGTGGCCCTTTAGCGTAGCGTAGCATAGTGGCCCAGCGTTGATTACAGTGATAATCTGCACCAAATGGGTATATCTTATGAGATAACTGGAAGGTAGAGAATATCTTGGATTTGAGGCAATTGATTGAAATAATGATTTTATTTATGCAACATTTTTTTTTGTATGGGATTGGACAAGACAGGCATTCTGACTGTGATGAAAGTGTTTGTTTCAGTGATAATAACCCTGTTCTTCTGTTTTTGATATATGTGCCTTTTATGAAAAGTCATTTCAATCATTTGAGCATCATCAACAGTAATATGGGGAAATTGTGTACTGAATCTATGGGCATATACTTATATATTGGCATATGTGTTTGATGCAACCTCCATTGCACATAAAACCCTGGAGTACTTGAATAATTGTATCTCCCAGACAAAAGAGGTTTTAAATAAGAATTAAATGATATTCATTGTGAATGGATGAGCCCAACTGAGATGTATCTAGAAAACATAATATAAATACAACATGGCACTCATTCAAAGGGAACTGTGCTTTAATAACCTTCCAAGAATAACAAAAAAATTGTAACTGGAGTAGATTTGGATTTGGATTCCAAAATATATATATTGCTTTGATATTTGAGTTTAAAACAAATGAGAAATTTCACTTCTTCATTGCATTTTGATTTTATTCAACAATATATATATATATAAATATATATATATAGGGGCTTGGAAAAACGACTCCTAAAAATTAGTCGACGACTCCCGTTTTGGTCGGGAGGTCGTCGGACGGGAGTCGTTCTTCCAATTCCCCCCAAAAAAAGGGGAGTCGTCGTCCTAATTTCAATGGTGATTTTTTAATTTTTTTTATTAAAAAAATGGGAGTCGCCCGCCTAAAGGGCGGGAGTCGTCGTACCAATTTAGCCAAATATTTTTTTTTTTTTTCATTAAAAAAATTGGGAGTCGTCCGCCTAAAGGGCGGGAGTCGGCGCCCCAATTCAATATTTTAACCTTTTTTCTGCATTAAAAAAAACGGGAGTCGTCCAACTCAAAACAGGAGTTGTCGACCTCTAGCAACCCTAAAAACTCAAAAAAAAGTTCAGCCACTGGGGCCCCGCCCCAAAGGCACTTTATCAATGATTAAAAATTAGATTCATTGAGAAAAACAAATTCAAGAAATAATTGAAATAAATTGATGAGATGTTGAGAAATGTAAACAAAAAAACAATGAGAAATGTAAGAAAAAAACAGGGATAAAAGAATTCAATTGATGAGAAATATAAGAAAAAAACACAGGGTAAAAAAGGACAGAGGAAAAAAATAAAAACTAAAAAAAGACACAGGCAGAAAAAAAACTAGGAGTGGGTCATTGGATTTTAAATCTTCCTCCCTACAGTCAATGGGTGTGGAGCGGCGACTCCTGCGTGGGAGAAGAAACAAGGTTTCTTCTGCCCAGCCCACTCCTAGGTATTTTCCAATGACTCCTGCAAGACAAAAAAAAAGTCCAGTGGACGATTGGGCCATCGACTCCCTTTCCGTCTCAGGTAATTGGCCTGACGACTCCCGAGGAAAAAAAAAATATCAAAAAAATTAAAGATCAAATTTGGGAGGCCGACTCCCGCCCTTTAGGCGGACGACTCCCAACTTTTTTAATGAAAAAAAATAAAAAATATTTGGCTAAATTGGTACGACGACTCCCGCCCTTTAGGCGGGCGACTCCCATTTTTTTAATAAAAAAAATTAAAAAAATCACCATTGAAATTAGGACGACGACTCCCCTTTTTTTGGGGGAATTGGAAGAACAACTCCCGTCCGACGACCTCCCGACCAAAACGGGAGTCGTCGACTAATTTTTAGGAGTCGTTTTTCCAAGCCCCTAT